GCGAAATATAATATCACACAAACAGTCTCTTTTAACGTGATCAGAAACTTTTTTTGATAGACGCAGGTAAAATTACCACTATTACATAGAATTAAGAAACAAGCAAGCAAAACAACAAGTCTTTTTTTATGAAGTTACAGATGATCGAAACACTTACTAATGATACAGTTCATCTTTCGATCGTCTGCAGCTCAGACGGCTATGTGTTTGCTTCTTAATTCTAGATACCCATGTTCGAACCACACTTAAAACATGTAAGTAATATTTGTTTCCTTTCGTTCGTAACTTGTGATTCTTTACTCTACAGCTCTTCCTGGTCACAGATATGCTTATAGAGATAGCATAGATTTAAAATTGAGTTCAAATGCATTCAAAATTTACATTTTTTTTAAATTTAAATTTTCTAACGCGTTAAAAATTAACACATCTAAACGCGTTTTTACCATAAAAATGGTTCAAAACCGACGCGTTTGACGCGTTAGTTAGTAATGCGTTTAATCGATGTTAAATTAGATGCATCTAAACGCGTTCATTTCTAACGCGTTTCTACCACAAAAATGGTGCAAAACCGACGCGTTTGAACGCGTTAGGAACTAACGCACATAACGCGTTTTTGTAGCAGAAAATGACGCCATGGGATGTATGGGTCTAATCGTCAACCGAACAATACTTTGATACTTCGCTTTTTGTGATAGACTGTGAGGTATTTCAAACAAGAAAGTAGACCAACGACATTCATTTCCATACTCACTTTCATTTGACTGCACAGTAAAAGCATTCCATTGACCCTCTTCACTTTTCACTCGAATAAATTGTTCATCAACATGCACTACTATCCACCGTCAGTCTGATCAGAAACAAAATCACAGATATCCTTTCTTTAATGAATATTCATATATTTCCATCTTTCTTTAGACATGCCGATACAACTCCTATGATCGACACTGATCAACGACGAAACTTTGAAAGCAATACTGTCATCTGGCCGGATGCGGGCGTCAATACTTCCGAAGATGTGTTCGATCAAAAGCTCAACTGCGTCGCACAATCAATTATCTCAAAGTATTTGACAATCCTGATGAATGAATTGATTACATATCTACCGTACAAACAGAAAACATCTTTTTAATCGTGTCTGCTTCATGTGGGCAAACACTAGTCCCACTCGTTCACTATATGAAACAAATCGAATGCATCCACATATTCAGCTCCAACAAACATTCGCACACTGAGTGGACCAGCCGCTTTCCCAAGGTACATGGTGTCCATACCGACATAAAACACGTCCGTATTTGTTCGGACAACACGATGATACCGATGAATGTCATGTCGTCCTCACCATCGAACACAAATAACAACAGACAAGAAGCATCGTTCATGTACTCTCAGCTTCCCATCGAGATTCTATTTGGACTGGAGAATACTCCTGCATCTAAATAAGAGATGATCGATGAATGCCGAAGACAGTATGAAGATAATGAGGAAAAACTGACGATTATTGCTGAGTTCGACAAGAACTATCAAAAGCATCAAGCTATTTGGTGGTACACGCGAGAGTGCTTCTTGTACCGAATGTTGAATAAAGCACTGCGCGTACAAGACACTGACATTCTCTTCAAGTTTCGCCTCTTCATCAAAGATCTTCACGACCAACTTCTCACACTGCACTCAGAATCCAATGATAGAAAATCGGCACTAACTGTTTATTGTGGACAAGCAATGGTATTTGAAGAGTTTCTGGCGATGAAGGACAATATAGGCGGGTTCTTATCAACGAACAGTTTTTTGTCAACAAGTACAAGCAGAGCTGTTAGTGTTAAGTTTGCTGAACAATGGTTAAATCGTGATGATGTCCTATCCGTTCTATTTGAAATGGATATTGACGTTTTGATCTTCACGAAAGATCTTCACGACCAACTTCTCATACTGCACTCAGAATCCAATGATAGAAAATCGGCACTAACTGTTTATTGTGGACAAACCATGATATTTGCACAGGTACTTGGGCAAGTGCTTGACAAATGACTTAACAAGAAGATAAAGTAATTCAAGTACTTGCCCAAGTCGACGAAAACTGTCATTTAATTGTCCATCAACAGCCAGTTAACTGTATGCCAAAAAATGGCCTATTAATTGTGTAAAAATGGAATGAAAATTGGCATTTAACAGCCATGTTATGATCACCAAGTCATTCACCGTTTTATTCTGCCGTCATGACTAGTATAAATAACTGTGATTTTATATAATATATATTATAATTTAGAGTTTTTTTCTTCAATTATACGAGTCATAGAAACTTGCCTCGAAGAAGTGGTCTGTGGTCCTTGGGTCGGTGCCGATGACAGTACCACAGGTTTTAGAAAATTTTTTGACATTTTCTAACCGTCTAAAAATTGATATCTAAATGGCAAAAATATGATCAGCAGGGTTAAATGCTTGTTATTTGACCGGTTTTCGATAATTAAAAGAATGCGAAATAAAGACATTTAAACGTTCCCAGTTATAATGGCAAAAAATGGCCTAAAAACTGGATCTAATGTCAAAAAAATTCCATTTAAATGCATATTAATACCGAATTAAATAGCATCTAATTGGCAATTAATTACACCGTTTTCGACGTCCTGGATTGGTTTACTTGCACAAAAACGCAAAAACGTTGGGCACAACTTGCGAGGGTACTTGACCAAGTAACTGCATGCAAGTGCATTCATTAGGGTATGATCAATACAAAGAAATAAAAACGTAGAAGAAAAGGCAAAAAATGTCCTGAAACTTTTTAAATTGCACAATCTTACTCAGACCTCAATGCTCTTTCAAATAGAGTGGATCTCAATATATGCAATAAACTATCATGTACACGTCGTCGTGTAGTCGACATCGCTGAATTTCAAAGAGACTGATATGACTTTTCGATAGTGAATTTAACTGTCCTCGGGGTATTTTTCCCAACATATCCGACAATCTCAGCAAATATAATTTTCAACATTTAAGAGTCTTTCTACTTTTAATAATTCTACGAACAAACAATTAAATTAGTGGTAGTAAGATCAAGTTTTATGAGAGTGTTGTTTACTTTCAGTGCTTCTGCTAGTGCTTCACCTCCTCTCTCGGATATTTTGTTGTATCCAAGATCAAGTTTTGTGAGGGTGTTGTTTACTTTCAGTGCTTCCGCTAGTGCTTGACCTCCTCTCTCGAATATTTGGTTGCGTCCAAGATCAAGTTGAGTGAGGGTGTTGTTTACTTTCAGTGCTTCTGCCAGTGCTCCACCTCCTCTGTTGGATATTTGGTTGTCTCCAAGATCAAGTTGAGTGAGAGTGTTGTTTACTTTCAGTGCTTCTGCCAGTGTTTCACCTCCTCTCTCGGATATTTGGTTGCCAGTAAGATCAAGTTTTATGAGAGTGTTGTTTACTTTCAGTGCTTCTGCTAGTGCTTCACCTCCTCTATCGGATATTTTGTTGTATCCAAGATCAAGTTTTATAAGAGTGATGTTTACTTTCAGTGCTTCTGCTAGTGCTTCACCTCCTCTATCGAATATTTTGTTGTATCCAAGATCAAGTTTTGTGAGAGTGTTGTTTACTTTCAGTGCTTCTGCTAGTGCTTGACCTCCTCTATCGGATATTTTGTTGTATACAAGATCAAGTTTTGTGAGAGTGTTGTTTACTTTCAGTGCTTCTGCTAGTGCTTCACCTCCTCTATCGAATATTTTGTTGTATCCAAGATCAAGTTTTGTGAGAGTGTTGTTTACTTTCAGTGCTTCTGCTAGTGCTTCACCTCCTCTATCGGATATTTTGTTGTATCCAAGATCAAGTTGAGTGAGAGTGTTGTTTACTTTCAGTGCTTCTGCTGGTGCTTCACCTCTTCTGTGGGATATTTGGTTCCGGCTAAGATTAAGTTGAGTGACTTTCAACTCGTTTGCAACGAGGACAGTGATTTGGTCAGAAACGTTCTCAGCTGTCGTGCGGTCGGAATAGTTGAATGTCATACGCAGTGTGAATGACGATAGCTGGGTCATACAGGACAACTGTGGCACCAGCATTTTCATCACTTGTTCTGAGTTGATGGCGAGCAGCGATAAGGAACGAAGATTAACCAATGTGTTGTTGGAAGAGTGGGTTAAGAACAAGTCAAAGTAATCGAAGGTCTGTTCCGACAGATACAGAGAACGAACTTGTGCCGTTGATGGAAAATGTTCGCAGATAAAGTGACATCTGGATTTGCTGATGCGATGAAAGTTCAGATCAAAGTGTAGACCGCCGAGTAGTACATCGAAACGATCGTTTAGTCGAAGAAATGAGTGGAGAATATCATAGGCGTCGAAATACTCGAAGATTTCAAGAATAACTTCGTTCGGAAGCAATTGAAACTGTGTCACATCTAAACAAATGCGCATTGTCAAGAGTTCGTATCTTTGGTCTCTCGTATATGATGAGAGCCTCTGAAGCATAAACGAGGAAGAATGGCAAGATGTATACTCACTCTCGAATGTGACTAGTAGTGTTGCATTCAGTGATTGTTCTTTCGAGTATTAGCCGGGGTTTTATTCTATGAATGGATAGCCAGCCTTCAGCATTTTACTATGGTCATGACCATGGGGGTCATCTCTCTCTCTACTATTCTCAATATATTGCAGTCATCATGTTTGCGCGTTTGCCAGAATGAATGCGGTCGAAGAAGACATGATCTACTTACCATTCGGTGCTTGCTTCAAACATTCACCGTTGCCACAAGTAGTGAGCAATCGGTCTGATAAGTCATGCTGCATCCCTCTTGACGATATGAAATCGGCGTTGAGGTATCAAAGTATTGTTTGTTGATATGCCTGAGTGAATTGATGCACTCTAAAAAATAAATGCGTCTTATAATAAGAGCCCAAAGGTCGTTTGACGGCTCGACGTACATATAGATCTCAAAATAAGACGGATGACGATAAGAATGAACACTTATCTACGCGTCTAATCTACAAGCGACTTATGGCGTCTTATTTTAAGATCGATAAATGTATCTGTCTTATTTTATCTGCCGGTAGGTTCATGAGACTATTGATCTTTAGCCAGAGGAACTGATGCAAGCCGATAATTATGTTTACTGATTGATGTATCATTGGTCATGTCTATATAAATAACAAAATTTAGAGAATTTATTTAGGGCTTATTTGTCCCATGTGAATATGTTTCAATCGTAGGGAGCCGCGTTTAAACGCGTTTTTGCTAGACGCGTCTGAGCGTGCATCGAAAAATTTGCCACCTCTTAGACGCGCTTTTTCTTTTTCTAAAATATACTTTTGAAAGCATTTTTTTAGGCGTATTGTTAATTCCTAGCTAAGGTTGCAATGTGTATTACCCAGTAGAGTGTGCGTACACAATACATTTTTCTGCTTGTATTGTTACAGACGGGGCTTTTTACGAAGAGCAAACTGGCATTTGTTCAGAGTTGAAAGAAGTTGTTAGTTATCCAGGTAAGCAAAAAATTACTGCAGACGACCGTCATGATTAGTCCGAAATGTCCGTACATCTGGTCAGGACTAGTCTGCACCGTCTGCACAAAGAAACTGACGCCCGGTCTAGACGGACGTCTGGTACATTGTTTTAGTCAAATACGATTGTGCTCGTCAACAGGCACTGATAGAGTCTGTTGACGAGCACAATCGTATGACGAGCACAATCGTATGACGAGCACAATCGTATGACGAGCACAATCGTATGACGAGCACAATCGTATGACGAGGACAATCAACAACGACTAATCAGTATCTGACAAGATCAGGCACTGACTAGTCTTTTGGGAAATAATGCACGGTTCAGTTATATATAGAAGTATTATGTCGCATTTTGTAGAGCGCATAATTCTGTATAAGATAAAGTAATTTACAATGTTATCAATGGTAGCTTTCTGAAGAAACTTAGACACCAAACGTAGCCGGTAACAAGAAATTGGAAAAATTGTCCTAATAATTTCAATTTTTCCACCGAAAAGATGTGAGTTTGAAACTGAAGCTAAGTAATATTTGGAATCCACCTGAAAACCGAATTGAACGATGCATATTGCAGGAATTTTTGAGCAAAGACTTTTTTCGCAAACTTTCCGCTTGGCTCAAATATGCAACCATGGACTTTTTTAAAAGAAGTTTTATTCCTCAGAACTATTTATTCGGAAGTTATGATAAGGTTTCAACGAAGACCTAAATTTTTCAGGGAAGTATTCTTCATGTACACTAAAAACTAGCATGCAGAAACTGCTAGCTAAACTGATGACGCAATGGTTCAGAGCATAGGCTTTAACACTGGACCATCCAGATGTGGCTGCGACATGCAACAATCTTGGAGGGGTTTATAACGGCATGGGCGACTACTCAAAAGCCTTAAGTTATAATGAAAAGACATTGGAACTTCAGTTGAAAACACTGGGCTCCAACCATCCAGATGTGGCTACGACATACAACAACCTTGGAGGGATGTATGAAGACATGGGCGACTACTCAAATGCCTTGAGTTATTGTAAAAAGTCACTGGAACTGAGGTTGAAAACACTGGGCCCGAACCATCCATCTGTAGCCACGACATACAACAATTTTGGAAATGTTTACAGACATATGGGTAATTACTCAAAGGCCTTGAATTATTATGAAAAGGCTCTCGGAGTTATGCGGAAATCTCTCCCGGCTGCTCATCCTTATATCAATGTGTGTGAAAGAGCAGCAGCTGACATGACTAGAAAACTGATGAGATGTTCATAACTTCACAAAAGCATTGGATTGCTATAGTATTTGATTGATACATTACACAGGGTAGTAGAAGGGAAGATTTTAAGAAACAATATACATTTTCCACTAAAATTATTTTGACTGTGATTGACTTGCTATTTATTGCAGAACTATATGCTTATGGGATTAAAATTTAAACTCTTGATCTATAAAACCGATGCGGGTACAATCGAGGCATGGAAATTGGACAGCAAAAGCATTTACTGGCATTCTTGGCGAGTCGGAAACTAGATAGATACCAGTAGGGTAGAGCATCAATCATGGTTTCATAAATGGAAAAGCATTTCCTCAATGCTTATTTGTCTTAATTATTTGGTTATCTCTGAATGTTTTCGCGCAGGTTCTCACAGATTTAAATCGATTCATCGCGACTAAGTTCTTACTTCCCCTTTTGTGGCTCTAACAAGTTATGTAAAAGTCCATGTTTCTCTCAAAAGAAACCTTGTAGGGCTTGCAGGACACGATTACATCAGAAACAGGCCTACGAAACTGTATGTACGAATTGAACCAAACTGTCTAAAAATTTCTGAGACAGCCGTTGGATAGAGTTAAAGGAGCGCACACTAATA